CCCCTCCCCTCCCCTCTCCTCTCGCCCCTCCCTCACGTAGGGCGGTGGGGGGGCTCTCAGCCCCTCGAAGAAGCAGCAGCTGAGGACGGAGAATGACTTCGTGAGGTTCGACACCCCCTTCTTACCGAAGCCCCTGTTCTTCAGAAAAGCCAAGAGCAGCGGTGCCTCTGCCGTCTCTGTGCGCCCTGCCGGGCAGGTCCGTGAGCTCTGCCCGGCGCCCCGGGCCCCCCTGCCCCCGCCTCCGCCCTCCCCACCGCCCACAGCCCCTTCCTGCCTAAAGGCCACGCCTGGGGCTCTGTGCGCCGGGACTCTGCTTCTGCCCATGGCATGGCACGTGGGGGCCTGTTCAGGGAGCCTGGGTCTGCTGGGCAGAGGGCCCGAGCAGTCCTGGGGCTTGTCTCCTGGTGACCTGGGAGGGACTGAGGGATTGGTCGGGGCACCTGCAGGTGCGGTGGGTGGTGCCTCACCTTAGAATTCACGAAACGGGCCTAGAGGACAGGGGGAGGACCAGGACAAGGGCCCCCGCCCAGGACTCGGGGCTGGTCAGGGTGGGGGAGGAGCAGGCACTGTCCCCGTCACAGTGGCGGGAGAGGGCAGCGGCTGTCGTGGAGCACAGGGTCAGCTCTGCCAGCTGCCCCTGGGTGCTGCGGATCAAGGGACAGGCCGGGGCAGAGGCTCGCCGGGGAGTAGCTGCTGTGTAAATAGCCTTGGACCCGTGACTGCCATGTTAACTAGTCCCAGGTAGGGCGTCCTAGGGACACTCGCCTGAGGTTCTGAGACTTGGCGCACAGAGGACTAGTTCCTCCGGTAAAGCGTTTACGGTGCGGAGTGGAATCGTGGGATCCACGCAGCAAAGGCGGGTGCTTCATCACGCAGAGTGGTCCGCATCCAGGAATTTCCCAAATGAGAAATGACTTAGTTAACTGATGAATTGCTGGGACACCGAGATGAGTCTGGGAGGCTCTGGGAGGCGCGTCCTGCCCCCTGAGCAAGAGCCCGTCCGGTGCGTGGTCCCGTCCCACTTACGCGCTAAAACTAAAACTCAGTGGGTGGGGTCCTCACGGCCTTGAAGTGCGAGCTGCTTGCCGTCACTTAGAAGCTGTTAGACACCACCGTGCTCGGCTTCCCTCCCCAAGGACGCAGCACGAGGCCGCCATGTGGCCAGAGATGCCAGGTCCGGGGCCTCCACCGCCACCGACTTACTCCCCTTTGTTCTCCCTTTGCAGCGAGACAAGACGCCCTCAAGCTCCAAGAAGGTCACCTTCGGGCTGAACAGAAACATGACTGCGGGTGAGTGTGGGGCGCGTCTCCCACGGGGCACCTGCAGGTCCTGCTGTCCAGAATTGCAAGGGTCGTGGGGACTCGGGGCCTCTGGAAGGAGGCTGTGTCCCCGGACCTGCCCACCCAGACGCTTCAGAGCCTGGGGGGCATCTGACGGCCCCCCAGCCATAGCTGCCTCTGCTGACACGTGGAGTCACCTGCCCACGAGGAGACAGGAAAAGAGAGACAGTCTCGTCTCATTGCTTTTGGCGTTGGTGCCGCTCACTGCTTTGGTTCAGTTCAACAGAAACCACACGTTCTGAAAGTACACGATGAGTTTAAGACCTGACTCTTCATAGGGACCACAAGTAGTTGTGTGTGCGCGCGCAGGGTGGGGAGGGAGCGTCAGGGAGGCCTTGTCCCGGGAGCTGGAGACGGCCGGAGTGGCAGGTCACCTGCAGAGAAAGGCTCCTCCTGCATCCGCTGGAGCCTCGGGTCCGTCCGCCTTCCGCCGCCACCCGGCCCCCAGAGTCCCTGTCAGAACCTGACCCCCCCGCGCTGTCCTCGGGCACTTGTTCACGCGCTCCCGTGAAGCATCCTCGATAGGGACTCCCGTTCCCTCGAAAACCTCCCGGCCCGCAGTCTGCAGGGCCTCGTGACGGAGCGAGCGGCCCAGCCTGCGTGGGGCCACCGGCGGTGTGAAGCGGCGAGAGCACCGACGACGGGGGACGCTGCTCGGGCGGGCGGGAGGGACGGAGAGGTGCGGGTCCTGGTGACGCGTGGCCTTGCTTTCACCCGCCACAGAATTCAAGAAGACAGACAAGAGTATCCTGGTCAGCCCCACGGGCCCCTCCCGAGTGGCCTTCAACCCTGAGCAGAGGCCCCTCCACGGCGTGCTGAAGACCGCCACCGGCTCACCCACCGGCACCCCCCTGGGGACCAAGAAGCCACTGAGCGCCACGCCAAAGAGAAGGCCCACGGCTATGGACTTTTTCTAGGGCAGCAGCAGAGTCCTTTTAGAGACTGTTTTTGTACAGATATTCTATAAATTATAACTTTGAAAAGGTGGGCGGTTTTTATTGTTTTATAAATCACCGTAAATCGTACAAACGAGGTCTGAGCAGAGCCGCTAGCCCTCCATCCCGCTGCGAGCATCTTGGTGGTGGTTTTGCCACAAACGCTGTTGGTGAGTGAGCCCTCTGGGGTCTCACGTTCGCGGGTGACTTCTCTGACCCCCACCGGTGTGGGAGCTGAGCGGTGTGACCGTCACTCCCCCTGCTGCAGGCCCCGGGGGAGCCTGGAGGGGACGTCCTGGCCAGCCGACTGTTTGGAGCTTGGGTGCTCAGCGCTGCGTCTACCGTGCTGGGCTGGTTTCCAGTGGCTTTCCACCTTTCCCCTGGCCTTGTGGGCATTTGGCAGTTTGTGTTGGGCTCGAACCCCAGTCAGCAACTCGGTGGTAGTTTCTCTGCGTGCCCAGCGCAGGGGGGGGGTGGGGGTGGGGGAGTGACCCTGCAGTGGGGGCGGGGAGAGAAGAGCCTCTGTCCTCGGGGCGCGTCTTTCCGGCCCTTGGGCCCGTCTCCTTCCCTGTGTTCCTACCTCTCAGGCCAGCCCGAAGTGTCTTCACCGGTGAGTGCCCCTCCTCGGCTCTCACCTGGGACCGTGAGCACGCGCCTTCCTCCCGGTCTCGTGCTCTGGTTCCCTTCCTCTTTACACGCGAGCCTTTGCGCCAGCACCCAAAGTGACTGGTGTCCCCAAAAGCAGCTTTCCCAACTCAGATTAAAATTCATTTCTTCAGAGATGTGGCAACAGTGTCTGAAAACCCGAGTTCCTGCCAGAAGGCAGAAATAAGCAGCCGCTGAGGGTTCCTTGTGCATATTTATTTGCTCGTAGCTACCTTTAATCTGAAATACTGAAGCTTGCACTCGAGATTTTCATAGAGTTCTGATTTTAGTTAATTACACACATCAGTGGGAGGCCCTCAGACTTCAGTTGGAAAAACAGGAACAGAGCATAGGGAAGCTACGTCTGTCCCTTGAGCCCGCGTGATGGACGGGGCGCAGATTCAGACATCAGGTCTTTGCCCAAGGAAAGTCACCAGGGCCCCCCAGCTCCTTTTTGAGTTAACGAAATAACAAATCGCACACTTGAGGAAGAGATAGGAGATTTGGGGGTCTGTAGGCCTGGCCCGCGGGTGCCCAGTGTTTCCCTGGCCCGCTCTCTGCCCAGGGGACCTCCCAGGAGTGACAGCTGCCACCCCTATCGCTCCTCCCCCAGAGGGGACCCCAGCATTGCCTCGGTGGGACCAGCCACCACTTCGGGTGACAAGGGGCGCCCGCCGGGATTGTGGGACTGTGTTGATTTGATTTTGGTTTCTTAATCACGTAATCGTAGCAGGGCTTCGTCTTCAATACTGCTTCTGCAGGGTCAGGTGACGCCCAGGGAAGGAAGTTGCCTGCTCTGTGTTAAAGTTGTCACAATTAGGCCACGAGGGAAATAACGAACACTGAGCTGTCAAGTAGTCATTGTGACCAGAAGTCTTAACGTACGAGGTGACTTTGTGGTGGTGCTTGCATGGGGTTATGTGCTGCATTTGGTAAAATACTTAAAATCACCTTCAAAACCAAATCGGATCGTGTGAAAAGGTTAGATTTGAATATCCAAATGTTTTTAAGATTTTGTTTAAAAAAAAACCGTTTTGTTATCCTTGGCCAGATTATTTTTCTAACAGTTTTCGCTTTAGCTTTAAAGACGGGCCGTATAATCCAGCAGCGTGAAGGTGTCTTAGCAAGACTGCGCGCCAGCTCTGCGGCCGAGCGCGGGCCTGCCCTTCGTGGCACGCGCGCGCCCGTCTGCTCAGAGGCCCCCGCAGAGCGTCCTAGAGATGCGCCTGCCGGTCCCGCGATGCTTCTGGACCCGGGTGCCCTGGACTGCATCCACCCTTGTCTCCATCTGTCCTGACTCCATTCTGTGGGTGAGTTCAGTAGGTTTGCTGTGGTTTACTTTTAATGCCTACATTTTGGCAAGAAAGGAAGGAAGAAGAAAAAGTTTTTCATTCTCATTACCTATACCCACAACAAGAATGTGTCACACGAAGAAAATGTATTTAGCATACCAATTTTCTATTTGATGCATGTTATTTTCCTAGGAAAATTGCTAAGGGGGCTTGGAAGTCCAAAAATGGGAACGATTTACATTAATGCTGGTGGTCTTACGGTATTTTGTAAAACGAGCATCTTATCTTCCCTCTTCCCCCGTTCGTCTGGTCGGGTTTGTACGGTCTGGTTTTACACTTTATAAACGTATCGTCCTTTCCAACTCCTGTTTACCCGAAAGCACAAAGAAGGGTCAAGGACACCTGGGAGCGGTTGTTAGTGTTGGAAAGAACTTGAAGTAGAACCTGCCTTTTGATCTGTGTGTCTTCTCTGCATTTACCTGACTCTGCTGGCACGATCCGTCTGTTTACAGTCCGTTTGTACTCACGTCTGCAGAGTGTGTCTGTCACGTCAAAGCCAAGGCCAATAAACACAACCTGTCTTTGCACTCGGGTCTGTACTTGACATGGGCTGTCCGTGTGCGTGAAAACACACGTCTCGGGGAACAAGTGTAATGGGGGTTGCGGGATGCTGACATCAGCCCTGGGCGCCCGACAACAAGCCTCTCCAGGCACCTGTCTCTCCGCGCGTCCACCGCCCGGAACCAGCGAGCGGTTGCTCTGGGGTCTCCTGGATGATTGAAGCAGAGACCCCACTGCTAGGCCTGACGCCTCTGTTCCACACTGCGCTCGCTCTCATCTGCACCTGTTCCCGAGCAGATTTCCCAGCTGCATGTGGCCTGAGCCCCAACAAGTCCACAGAGGGTCACTCAAACCAGAAAACGACCAGAATACCAGGAAAGCCTCTCCCTGCCATCCACAGTCCTGACCTCACCCCAGGTCTCACCACCACACCCGCGTCCCTTCGTCCACTTCTCTGATAGTGGGTGGTCAGGTTTCAGGCTCTTGTCGGCCTGAAATGTAGCTCGAGTATCAACTGGGGCTTCCATTCGATACCTTGTGGAAGTTTGAGCAGTCCCTGTTCCGAATGCAAACTCCCAGAGGAGCTCTAAGGACACCCAGGCCTGACTGACTGCCCAGTTCTCCCTGCACCCGGGGCCTCGCCCCGCCCTCCCTGTCCTAAGATGCTGCCGGCATCAGGGAGCGAACCGGTTCCCACCACTCATCCACCACAGACCCAAAGTCGTGCTTAAACCATCGCTTTTCAGAGTGGCCTGTCACGGGCTTCCTCACGGTTTCCGCGCCCAGGCTCCGAGCTCCCTGTGGGTGTCCCATGCTGCCATGACAGGCTCTGTGCGGTCCCTGCTTTTCCTGAGCTCACATGGGGTGCAGCAGAAAGCCGATGCCACGCCAGGAGCCACCGTCCTTAGGAGGCAGGTTCCCAAACCACTATTCTCGCCCCGTATACAAACCCCATTCGTTCTTGGCCATTCCTCCGCTCAGCTGTGCCTGCTCTGTTTATGCTGCAGGGGCTACAGCCCGCGGGATCCGTGCCCTGGTGGCGCTGACCAGTGGGGACGATGCACCGGGGACACGTGTGACGGCTCAGCTGGGCATCAGATCTGTCTGGGGAGGAGGAGAGCAGGGAACACGTCAGGGTCTGGTGCTGTCCTGTGAGCGAAAATCCCCCACCCCGCACATCTGGCCGGTTTCGGACAGATCAGTGTCAGGCTTTACACCGTGTGAGCCTTTTTAAGTGTCTACCGAACTCAGCAAAGAAGTGTAGACAGTCTAGAAGGAGTGCTTCTTGTATTGAGTGTTGGAAAGAACTTGAAATTGAATCAGCATTTTCGTTTGTATGTGGTGTTTTTTCCTTAATTTAACTGACTGCTGGCGAGGACTGTTTACAAGAAGGTGGCATTTGAACAGAGGCTGGAAGAGCGCGAAAAGCGAGCCATGTGTTAGGTACCTGGAGAAGGCACTGTGAGCAGAAGGGGCGGCACATACCAAGGCCCTGAGGCAGAAGGAGTGGCACATACCAAGGCCCTGAGGCAGGTGCCTGGTTCAGGGCAGTGTAAGAATGGTAAGGAGGCAGGACTTCCAAAATGGTAGTGTGAATTGCCCAGAGACGCCTCTCCCCAGGAAAGACATGGGATAACTGGTCGGAATTAGCAACAACAACCATTCAAGGTCTCCGGAGATTGATCAAAGGGCTTACAACAAGTTGAGAAGCGTGTATTCGATAAAGTCCACAGCGGCTGGGTAAGGACAGCGGGAGGGAGGCTGTGACGGCTGGAGGCGGCAGCGTGGTAAAGCCCTCGGTGGGTGGGCTGACCTCTCCCAGGGAGGAAGCGCGACTCCAAGAGCAGGGCAGCGGAGGGGCCCGCGGAGGAGCCAGAGGCTGGAGGAGGGCCGGCGTGGTGCCGCGGGGACGCTCCCAGGGCTCACACGCGGCAGGACTCTGACGCGGAGCAAAGTCCCGTTTCCAGCCCTGGGGTGTGGGAGCTCCTCCCACCCCCACCCCAGGCACCTTCTCTCCTGCCAGGCTCTGTGCTTCACATGTAGCTGCATCCACGCCTGACAGCTTCCAGAAGGTAAGTCTTCCTGTGGGTCCCTGCTCACGGGCTTTCGGGAGCCATGGAGGCATCAGGCCCTACGCAGGCGCGGGCTCCCCGGGGCTGTGGGTTTGCCCCCTCGCGGCCCGGACGCCGGCCAGCGACAGGGCTCCACACCCACTGGTCAGGAACACACGATCTCAGGTCCCACCCGGACCCGCTGAACCAGCCGCGTCTCGCCTGGGCTGGGGGATTTGTTCCCGAACACGTGGCAGAACACCCAGGTCCAAAGCCCCGCAGCCCTTAGCCGGGGCCCTTGGTGCAGACCGGAGCTCAGCAAACACCAGCCGGACCGAACCGAATCCAGCTGGAAAACCACAACATCCAGGGGCTCTTCCTTTGCCCTGCCTCCACAAGGTCAAGCCCGAGAAGCTTCGCCCCAGACCCGCGGCCCCGGCTTCCTTTCAGCCTTCGGAGAGCCGCCATCTGGGCTGGACCGTGTGAACATTTGCTGTGTTTTGTTCATGTTTTCTGTTTGAAGCCGCTCCAAGTAAAATATGGGCAACGTGACGTTTTATCCCCAAACGCTCCAGCCTGCTTTGCCAAAGAGTGACGTTCTTCCCCTGGAACCTGGTCACCGCAGCCACACCTCCCACGAGGTCCTGCCCAAATGTCCCCGAGTTCTTGCCGACACGTTTTTTTCTAACCAGGAGGTGGTCGGCCACTCCCATTTGCTTACCGTGCCTTAGTCTCTCTCATTCTGGAACATCTCCCCTAATTTTTCTCGTGAGAGTGCATCTTTTGAGGAGTGTGTCCGACCTTGGCCCTGCGGCCCCCGGGTGGACTGGAGTGTCCGTGAGTGCCGGGGTGGTACGGCAGGGCCCAGCACGGGCAGCCTGCTGAGTCAGGCCCCGTGGGCCCACAGCCAGGGCCGACAGGTGCCATCTCCCGGGTCCTGCCTCGAACACAGACCGTCCCCGACTTTTGTCGCTGGGCCCCAAGAGGTCAGTAAGTCCTGGGTTAGCCCGTCAGGCAGCAGACACGTGGTGGGAGTGCACGGCCAGTGGACAGAAGCCACGAATACACGTTATCGTTACGATTTCACCAACGCCCCAACTAAATATCACTTTTCTATAAAGGAAACATAAGCCAAATCAAAGTGTTATTTGAAAACAACATGAATGCAGAAAGGTGACGGGGCGTCCATCTGCTTTCTGAGCCCGCAGAGCCTGCCGGAACCAGGCCAGAACACCGGGTCAGACTGTTCCGTAGTGACCCTGCTGGGGGGTTGGTGAGGCTGGGAGGGGGCCCAGCCCCCACCCTGAGCCGCCCACCACAGAGAGCCCACCCGCTCCCCACACCGCCACACTCACCCGCTGAAGGAGCCCCGGGTCTCTGTCCTGGGGGCAGTCCCTGGGAAGTGCCAGCACCATACTACAGGCCTGAAAGGCCACGGGCTGCTCGGGGTCCAGGACCACAGGCACCTCAAGATATAAGGGAAGTCCGGGGGCGCCTGGGTGGCTCAGTCGGTTAAGCATCCGACTTCGGCTCAGGTCGTGATCTCGCGGTTCATGAGTTTGAGCCCTGCATCGGACTCTGTGCTGACAGCTCGGAGCCTGGAGCCTGCTTTGGATTCTGTGTCTCCCCCTCTCTCTCTGTCCCTTCCCCGCACTCTCTCTCTCTCTCTCTCAAAACCAAACATTTAAAAAAAAAAGTAAGAGGGGTGCCTGGGTAGCTCAGTTGGTTAAGCTCTGACTTCGGCTCAGGTCATGATCTCACGGTTCGTGGGTTCAAGCCCCGCATCAGGCTCTGTGCTGACGGCTCGGAGCCTGGAGCCTGCTTCGGATTCTGTGTCTCCCTCTCCCTGCCCCTAGCCCATGCGCATTCTGTCTCTGTCTGTCTCAAAACTAAATAAACATTTAAAAAATTAAAAAATAAATAAATAAATAAATTCCCAGATCTTATTTGTCAGGATAGTCTTCAGTTTACAGAACAATTGAGCAGATGGTGCGGACTTAGAATTCTCCTACACCCCTCCCCCCACACGGTTCCCCGTCTTTGAGCATCTCCAGTGCATGGGGCACATTTGTTCCAATGAATGGATGAGCATTACTTCATTATTCCCAACTGACACCCACAGTTTATATTAGGCTCCCTCTTGGTGGTGTGGACTCCGTGGGTTTGGACAAACGTGTGATGGCACGCACCCACCCCGTACAGCCTCATATAGTTTCACTGCCCTAAAGACCCTCTGTGCTCTCCCTACTCATCCCTCCCTGCCTCCCCTCCGCCCCGTGGCAACCACTGGTTTTCCTTTGGCTGCGTCTGTAGTGTGACCCTTTCCAGAAGGTCACGCGGGGGGGATCCTTCACGTTGCCTTCTTCCACCTAGCGACGTGCAGTTATGTTTCCTCCGTGTCTCTCTGTGTTTTGGAAAAAAAAAAAAAGTGTATTTATTTTTGAGAGAGAGCGAGAGTGAGTGGGGAAGGGGCAGAGAGAGAGGGAGAGAGAGAATCGCAAGCAGGCTCCAGGCTCTCAACGCAGAGCCAGCCATGGGGCTCGAACTCACAAACAGTGAGATCATGACCTGAGCTGAAGTTGGACACTCAAGCAACTGAGCCTCCCAGGCGCCCCTGGACATAAGTTTTTCAACTCACTGGGTAAATATCCAGGAGTGTGATTGCTGGATTGAATGCTAAGACTATGTTGAGCTTTTTTTTTTCTTTTTTTTTTCAGTTTATTTATTTATTTTGAGAGAGAGAGAGAGAGAGAGAGAGAGAGAGAGAGAGAGAGACAGACAGAAGCACGGGCAGGACAGACAGGAGAGAGAGAATCCCAAGCAGGCTCTGGGCTGTCAGAGCAAAGCCCGATGTGAGGCCCAATCCCACAACCTTGAGATCATGACCTGAGCCGAAATCAAGAGTCAGATGCTCAGGGGCACCTGGAGGCTTAGTGGGTTAAAAGCCCAACTCTTGCTTTTGGCTCAGGTCATGATCACACGTCTCGTGGGTTCGAACCCTGTGTCAGTCTCGGTGCTGACAGCTCGGAGCCTGGAGCCTGTTTCCGATTCGGTGTCTCCCTCTCTCTCTGCCCCTCCCACCCTCATGCTGTGTCTCTGTCTCCTCCAAAAATAAATAAAAACATGAAAGAAAGAAAGAAAGAAAGAAAGAAAGAAAGAAAGAAAGAAAGAAACTTCCCTACTGAAATGCAGAGAGAAAAAAGAATGGGGGAAAAAAAGTGAACAGATGATCCAGGAGCTATAAGACAATTACAAAGGTGTGGCACACACGATGGGATCCCCAGAGGAGAAGGAAGAGAGAGACGGGGACGGAAGAAATATTTGAAGTCATAATAGCAGATAACTTTCCAAAGTGAATGACAGACGCCAAACCACAAGTCCAGGAAGCTAAGGAAACACCGAGAAAAATAAATACAAAAAAAAAAAAAAAAGAATCTACTCATAAGCATATTATATTGAAACTGCAGAAAATCAGAGACAAAGAGAAGACCTTGAAAGCGGTCAGAGGAAAAGAAAAGCCACCTTACCTGGAGAGGAGCGAAGGTCACCAGGTGAAGGAGAAGAGAGACATGAGCCCCCACCTAGGGTCCCATCCCACTCCCGTGACGTTTCCCTGCAAATGGAAGGAGATATAAAGACTCTCGCTGACAAGACCTGACAGCATTTGCTGCCGGGAGACCAGCCTTGCGAGAAATGTTCAAAGACGTCCCTCGGCAGCGACACTCAGAAGCAGTCCTTAGCCTGTTCCCCCTCCCCGAGACGGGAGCTGAGGAGCCTGCTCAGACTCACACAGGCTGTGGTAGGTGACCCCCCCTCCCCATCCCCCGCCCCAGGCCCACGACGAGGCCGCTCAGGGCATTTCAAACCCATTGCCTCCCTTCCTACTTCGCCAAGCACGGCGGACTCTCTCTGGTCTTTACAGCTGGGCTCCTGGAGGTGAGCCCACCAAGGGCCCCCACCCCACAAGAGTTTGGACCCTCAAGTTGGTCCACACTCAGCCTCCACCAGGTTGTCAACTACAGTTTAACCGTTCCTATGGTTCCTGGTTCCGGGAGCTTCCGCCCCCGGGGGTGAGTCAATCTCAGCTGTGACTCTGTGTTCCCCTCCTTCCCTCCAGATTTGGGGGTGGCGGTCTACTCAGGACCTCAGTGCTCTGACAGGTCTAAGGAAAGTTACAGACTGTCAGTCTGCTTATTTTCCCCACGAGGGTGGAAGTGATGGAGTCCGGGCTCCACGCACGTCAGCGCGGTGGCCGGAGGTCCCGACCTGGCTTGGGTCTGAACAACGAGAATGCGGTTTTGCCCACGTCTTTTCTAAGTCTGCACTTTTTTTTTTTTTAAGCTTATTTTTATTTCTTTTGAGACAGATACAGGGAGCAAGCAGGAGAGGGGCAGAGAGAGAAGGAGACAGAATCCCAAGCAGGCTCCACGCTGTCAGCTGTCAGCACGGAGCCCGGTGTGGGGCTCGAACTCACGAACTGTGAGATCATGACCTGAGCCGAAATCCAGAGTCAGACGCTTCACCGACTGAGCCACCCAGGTGCCCCTAAGTCTCAACTTCACCTTGAAGAACTGTTTTCTATTTTCCTTTTGTTTGCTTTGAATGTCTTTTTATTTCTTTAACTTTTAAAAAAAAAAAATTTTTTTAATGTTTATTTTTGGGAGAGAGAGAGTAACGGGGTGTGAGTAGGGGAGAAGCAGAGAGACCGTGACCTGAGCCAAAGTCGGACGCTTAACCTACTGAGCCACGCGGGTGCCCCTTATTTCTTTAACTTTTAAAACAGCTTAATCGGAATATATCGGATACACCCTAGAGGTCACCCATTGGAACATGTACGACTCAGTGATTTTCTGTCCATTCACAGAACTGCACATCTCTAACAATAACCCAAGCCTAGAACATTTTCCTTCCCCCCCCATCACATGCTTGTCAGCCATCCCTCCCCATTCCTTCCCCTTTACCCCCACCCCCCACCCTTGCAGCCACTCCCCTACCTCCTTTCTCCAAGGGTCTGCCTTTTCTGGACCTTTCGCACAAATGGACTCCTACCCTCTGGGATGTTTTTGTGACCAGTATCGGTGTTCTTTGGGGCAGAGAAGTCATCTCTCTCGCTGGTTCAGCCTGCTCTCAAGTGCAGGTCCTCCTTGGCTGAGTGCCTGTTCTGCCTGACCGTCGTCCAGAGGTAAGGTAAGGGGCCCCCAGGCTCCGTCTCCAAGCTCCTGGCTCACCCTCGGCAGTGTCCGGCCAAGCCTGGGAGTCCTGGTCACAGATATGTTGGCCACCAGTGCACCTCTCGGTGCTTTTCATTTGTATCTGGTTACGTCTGCCGTCCGGGAGCACGCCTGCCAGGGAGGACACCCACACGGGTTGCTGTCCCTGCCCCATGTCGGACAGCAGAAGGCTAGTGAAGGGCCGGAAAAGGGGTGGGGGTGGGGGGTGGGAGAAGGGAGGGAAGGAGGCTCTGTGTGCCCTCGATGGACACGGCACAGCCACAGGGTCTGTGTCTTCTCACCCCTGTGGCCACACCCCAGGGGAACAGAAGGCACATGGACCACTTACTTCGCCTGCTGGGACGCATGGCTGAGAAGGACCCTCTGGGCACTGTCTGCCCAAGGGGAGCAGATACTACTATGCACAGACCGAGCATCAGGCCACCCTCACCCTGGGGACCTCCGGGGACAGGCCCCTCCCTGGCAGGAAGGCTCTCGGCCCCAGTCCCCAACCCAGCCTGGCCGCCCACAGGCCCAGTCTCTGCTTGTGCCAGCAACAGCCCTCCAGCAGCGTCCGGAATGAACCAGAACGCCCAGCCACAGCCCCGGTTTTGTGTTTTGTCGTAAAGGGATGTTTTTCAGCCCTTGGTCCATCACTTGGGCTTATTATGCTAAATCTGATACGGAGGCTCTGGGAGAATAGGGAACTTGCTTTCATTACACTGGATCTTACCCCCAAGCTTGCGGTAAAACATACGAAACGTGCTTTTACCTTCTTGACCATTTTACGTGGACAGGCCGGTGGCGTTGAGTCCATTCACTTGGTTGTGCAGCCAACCCCTCCCTCCGTCTCCTGGACGCTCCATCTCCCGGAACAGGAACTCTGTCTCCACGAAACACAGACCCCCCCCAGCCCCTCCCCCAGCCCTGGCGCCCACCGTCCTGCCTTCCGTCTCCGCGCCTCCTCGTGTAAGCGGACTCGCACAGTATCGTCTTTTGTGTCCGGGTCGTATCCGTGAGCACCGTGTGCTCAAGGCTCATCCGCGGTACGGCCGGTGTCAGAATGGTCCTACTTTTTGAGGCCGAACAATAGCGTGTTGTACGTATTGTTCGTAGAGGCTGCTTCTAGGCCACAGGCTTGAACAATGGCATGTAGAGCAAGGCGAAAGGGCCCCCAGTGACCACGGCCACCTCGACACCCAGGCCTGTTGCATCCACACGACTCCTGAACAGAATGCTACGGGCACCGGTGACAGTCCCAGCAAAGTTTATTGCAATGAGAGGCAAGGCCGACTGATCGGGACCGACACTCTTGATCAGGGTGCAGCCTCGATCAGCCGGGGTACAGAGTTTTTATAGCCGAAACCACGTCGTCTTATCATCACCTGGGAACAGAACAAAGAGATAGTTCCCAGATGGGGGTAGAAACAGTTCAGACATGCCCTTGCCCCGATCCAGTCAAACGCTAATCCAATTGATTTTCCTTGAACTTTTGTTCCCTTGATGGATAGGACAAGGCTGTTATCTCCTAACCTATGGTGTCAGAACAAAGCTGTTATTTCTCAAGGCTACAGGTTAGCCCTACGCTACCACTTAACCCTTTCAGGCCCATCGGGCGACCCGCCTCAAAATACCCAGAGGCCCTAACTGACCAATGGGCTACTTTCATCCAGACACAGGTACCAAGAAAGGGAAGATTCCATTTGTCCCCATGCCCCTACCCTTCCCCCTTTAAAGACAGCCCCCACCCACTGCCTCCATGCAGACAGTCCCTCCTCCGCTGCCCTGCCCCCCCAGTCCCTGGCCATGCATTCTATAAACGTCTACCTCCTCTGTGCTGCCGCGGGTGATTTCTTTCACCAGCTGGGCAAACCAGGCAGTATAGGGATCATCATGCCACATTTGGGGACCCCCACGCGATCGGGGAGACACCGCATTGTTAAATAACAAACATTCAACCAATCAACTTAAAAATCTAATTATTCACCGATTCACGGATCGGGCAACACAGCCATCTGGCAAGTAGAGGGGGTGCTCCAAGGAGGTGTACGAATCGGAAGGTTTTTACGGAAGGAGGGTGGGATAGAAGGTTATTCGCGAAAGAATTTTTCTGGGCAAAGCCAGTTTCCCGTGCGGGGAGAGGCGAGGGGTCTTATCATGCACTTGACCTCATCTTTCTCCGGAGGAGGGAGAGGGCCCGAGCGGTCGGCTCGTTGGTGCTGATTGATGGACCACGTTTCTGGGGGAAGTTGCAACTGCGGTGAGGTTAGAGCCGAAGCCCCGGTTTGGGAGCTCAGTCTGCGTGATGCCATTTCGGACCTGTGGTTTTCTTTTCAACAAGCACGTCCCACGTTTTGTTGATGCGTTCCTGCCTCGATGGATACTTGGTTCTTTGGCTCCTGTGAGCGAGTGCTGCTGCAAACGTGGGTGTATGGTATCTGGGAGTTCTTTTGCTTTCAATTCTTTTGGGCGTCTCTCCAGAAGTGGGATTACCAGATCATATGGTAGTTCTACGTTTAAGTGTTTGGGAAACTGTTCTCAACACGCACACACGCACCCAACCTCCCGTCCAACCCTCCCCCCGCCTCCCTCCTCCCTCTCTCCATTTATTTGACTGCCACCAATCAGCACAGTGAAGATGTTGGCGTACAGGACAGCCCTGTTCCCCGTGTTAATGGAGTTCCAGTCTGGTGGGAAAGCGGGTTTGATTAACCCCCAGCATATATCGAATGCCCCACGTTTATGGCCAGGGGTGATTTCCACGAGAACTGTGCAGGACCTGACCTTCCTCTTCTCCAGATGAGGTGCTGGTGAGCGGAGGGGACCTCGGGCATAGTGAGGACCACAGGCGCTGAGATGTGTGCACTGGTGGCTTCTGATGAGGCACGACCCGGTCCAGGTCAGCCTTCTTCGTGTGGTTTCGGAAGCAAACGGAAGATCCTCTGCCTCTAAAACTCCAGCTTCCACGGGGCGCCCGGGTGGCTCAGGCATGGACTCTTGATTTCAGCTCAGGTCGTGATCTCACGGTTCATGGGATCAAGCCCCACGTCATGCTCTATGCTGACAGCGCTGAGCCTGCTTGGGACCCCCCCCCCCCCCCCACCCTGCCAAAGAACAAATAAATAAAGTTAAAAAACAAACGTTAAAAATTCAGCTTCCACAGTTAGATTAACCCCTTTTATTTGCACTTTTGATCTTCCATAAAACTCTAGGGAGAAATTGTACAAACTCGTACCTAAAAACACCTCCTGTGTTTTTGGCTTGCCAATTTTCAAGGAGTCTTTAAAAATACAGATACCTAATCCTGACAAAGCTGAGCTGAAATCATCACTGAGGGCTGACAGGCATGTACATTACACACATTCCTCAAGTGTAATTTGACAACACGTCTATATACTAAGAATCAAAAGATGCAAACTTCTCTTTTACCTGTCTTTCCACTTCAAGGAAGTTATACTAAGAAAGTCATCAGAAATGCACACAAAGATTCACTTACAAGTAAGGCCAGTGAAATATCTACAACAGTGAAAGACTGGGCCCAACCTGACTATTCAATAAGAGGGTTCATTAAATTCTTGTAAGTCCATGCGATGCAAGTCACGTAGGCATCAAAGGTCACCGAGAACGTCAGACGACGTGTGGGAAGTAGAAAAATATACGAATATACATAATCAACTACAATCCCAATCTTTGTCTACAGAGCATAATGTCGGTATGTTTCTTAATTTTTTTGAATGTTTTTATTCATTTTTGAGAGACAGAGACAGAACACGGGTGGGGGAAGGGCAGAGAGAGAGGGAGACAGAATCTGAAGCAGGTCCAGACTCCGAGCTGTCAGCACAGAGCCCGACGCGGGGCTTGAACTCACGAACTGTGAGATCACGACCTGAGCTGAAGTCGGATGCTTAGCCGACGGAGCCCCCCAGGCGCCCCTAACATTGTTGTGATTCATGAGCACTTGCCACGTTCGTGTAAAAGCACACCGACGTGCCGGGAGAGAAGACGAGAAAGCCATACGCCCCCAAGACCATGGGACTGCAAGCGGCTTCATTTTCTTCCTTGTAATGGTCGTCATCCCCCCAAGTTCTCTGCGACATGAGCTTCTCTTACAGCTGGAGGCCCCCGAGGGATGTTTGCGAATCTCTGTGGGGCACAGTAAGGAAGAGCAGCTGCCGTGAAGGGAACCCCACGCCATCCAGGTCAGCCAATCGCTTCCCATTAGATGGGATGAAAATCCAGCCACTCCCAGGCATGGAGCTCCCAGTACAAGAGCGAATCCCCTCACTTTCCCTCTGTTCTTTCTCTGTGAATAATTTGCCCCAACAGGCCCCTTGAGGGTCTGATTTCCTGGCTGTTGGCCCAGATTTTGAGTCTTTTCTGAATTAAAGTATTACTAAGGAGAACTAAGGAGAAAGAAGAAACATTTCCAATAGAGTCTGGTCAGGAAGAGACAATGAGGCTCAAGGTTATTTCTCAGGTGGGAACCTTGAGCAGAGATCGCCCCACCCTGGGTTTAAGATGACACTTATCACACATTCTTCTGAACTCTCGGGAGAAAACTCTCCAGATGGTGTGGAGCTATTTCAGGTGGAGACTGGGGATCAAGGACAGCCCAGCCCGGAGGTTGTCATAGTGACCAGCTCATTGACCTGGAGACTGTAGGGTCAGCTTCAAACCAGATGAGCGTGTTCGAGGATTAAGAAATAGAAAACCACACCTGGAACAGGTCAGGAAAGAATCCAGGGCATTCTCTAGTGCTCCTGGAGTCACTGAGCCAAAGCGCTCAAAAGGTTCCAAAAAATCTTGGCTATTCCCCAGAGGGAAGCAAAAAAAATAATCTGTTCAAATAAAAAACAACCTGTAATCCAAGCTTCAGGTTCAGTTATTGCCTGGTTGTTTTTTGTTTTTTTGTTTTTTTTCCCAAGTAATCTCTACACCCAACATGGGGCTCGAACTCACCACCCCGAGATCAAGAGTCACACGGTTCATCTCCAAAAGGAACAGAGACCCTCTGCTGTTTGAGCAGTGAGCCTGCCGAGTGCCGAGCGCTGACCCGGACCCGACAGACATAGGCCTTATCTCAACCCCAGGTCCGCAGACTGACTTCGAGTTCGTTCGTTAACTTCCTAACCGCTCTGTTATCTTGTGTGTTGTGTGGCCTGTCCTCGGTTCTGCTCTGTCTGCCGCGTAAGAAGACACATCTGACCACGTGGTAAAATATCACTGAGTCTGGAATCCTGAACCTGCTTTATAAGTATGACTAACTTCGCTTTATGACCGAATAAAGCTGGCGTTGGGACAGACACACCTCGTGTGCGCCTTCCTGGCCCGCAGTTACAGTCTTCAAGGCGGTGTATTCTAAAAATAGCGGCAGGGCCTTGAAGAAATGCATGATTTGTAAGGCAAAAAAAGAGGATGCCCGCTCAGGCCGCCACAAAACACCACAGGCTGGGCGGCTTAAACCACCCACCTTTATTTTCTCACGGTTCTGGACGCTCAAAGTCGAAGATTCCACTTGGACTTGCTCTGATGCAGGTCCCCATGTGAGCCCCCCGGGCTCAGCGCGTGCTCTCGTTCCCGTCCTCCGCGCTTCAGGCACAGAGAGCCGGCTCTCTGCCGTTCCTTCTTCTTTGTGATGAGGGAAACAAAGCAAGAGAAATGTCACTTAAATTAAATCTCCTGACAGCTCACAGCCCGCTGATAGACACCTGAAACACGCAGAGTGTGACCTTCCTCAAGCAACTCATGGCTGCCTTAGAGCCTTTATGTTTATGTTTTATTCAAGACTCAACACAAGAGCGCCTGGGGGGGGGGGGGGCGCGCTCAGTCAGTTGAGCAGTTGAGCGGTTGAGCGTCCGACTTCAGCCCAGGTCACGATCTCACAGTTTGCGGGTTCAAGCCCTGTGCTGGGCTTTGCACGGACAGCGAGGAGCCTGCTTTGGATTCTCTGTCTCCCTCTCTCTCTGTCTCTCCCCTGCTGGTGCTCTCTCGCTCGCTCTCTCTCTTTCTCAAAAATAAATAAACATTAAACAAAATTAGGAAAAATAAAGATTAAGAATAACTTTAGCTTAACAGTAATGAGCCCCTCAAGGTCCTGAAAGCCTTGCTTCCAAATTCCTTAGAGACTTATGCCATCCCTAACCCCCCACTAACTTATAAGTCTATCATCAGTCTCTCCTCACAAGCCCAATGCAGCTCTTTGTGCCCACGGGCCCTGTCCCGGTGCTGCAATAAAATCACCTTTTTGCACCAAAAACGTCTCGAGAATTTTCTTAGCCGTTTGTTCGCAAACCCAAAACTTCCAAATTTCATCATAAGGATCCTAATCCTATCAGATCAGGCCCCGCCTCTTATGACCCCTGCAATCCTGTTTAACTTTAATTACCTCTCAGGGGCCCCAATCCAAAAGCCATGACTTTGAAGGGGTAGGGCTTCAACATAGGAATATGGAAGGGGGGCGGATACAAGTGTGTCTGTAACAGTGGTTAAGTCTCTGGAGACCGACATCCCTTGTCGCCAACATCAGAGACAGCACTCTGGCCGGGGAAACCTGGGGACAGCGATGACTTTTTCTGGGACTAAAATCCGTATTCACCGTCTCTGGTGAAGGAACATTTGAAACTGGAAAGGCCTCAGAAAATCTGGGACACGCGATGTCAGGTGAGCCCAGCCAGCCTGTGCTTTCAGGATGGTCAGCTTCTTCGGGACCAATGCCGGTCACCTTGGACCACGAGGGGCAAGCTTGATGGCTATCAGGTGGCATGCCCAAGCGAAGCTGGAACTCGGACGCAGGTAGTGGGTGTGGCCGTAACCGGGAGCCACAGACCAGGCGGCTTCACCAGACAAAAGTGATTCTCTTCCGGCTCTGGAGGCGAGAGGCCCAAGATCAAGGTGTCCCCAGGGCTGGCTCCTTCCGGGGGCTGTGAAGGAGCGTCTGTTCCATGCCTCTGGCCGCGGCTTGCGTGTGGCCATCATCTCCCCGTCTCGTCTTCCTCCCTTCTAAGGACACCAGCCATGCTGGATTTAGGGCCCACCCTGACGACTTCATTTTAACTTGATTACATCTGCAAAACGCCCTGTTTCTAAATAAGGTCACATTTTCAGGTACCGGGGGTTAGGACTGTGACATGTGAATTGGGGGGAGAACACAAACACAGTTCAACCCGGATCAGGCAGCCTGTATGTAAAGTTCACCTCCAGTGGAAGGTGGGATCAGCCAGCCTTTTCCCAGGCCAGGTCACAGCAACCCTCTGGCGTGGCGGGGGGGGGGG